TATCGGGAATGGCCCCGCGGATAAGTATTCTAGTTACTGCTCTTTGCATCTTCTCTTTCTCTCCTTTATTTTCACTAACTCTTTTCTCATGTTTCCTATTTTCTAGAACCTCATTTTGGAGATCGAGTGTGCCCGTTGAGAAGAGAGGAGAAGGGCTATCTTCAAGAAAATGGAGTCGAAGTACCGTGAGTACCGCTCTAAACATCGTGCGCTATGTCTTCTGCTCGGCATAGATGGAAGCTTCCAGGCTCTTAGAGACGAGCTGAAGCAAAAAGACGAAGAGCTTGTGAGGGTTATTCGAAAGTGCAGCGAGCTCGAGGGGTCGCTTAGGGCCAAGGAGGATGAGCTTGAGGTGAGCAGGGGTTTGCAGCGGAATGCGCAGATCTTCAGACCAAACTGGTATCCCTATATGCTGAGCTTGAGCAAAGTTCGACCCAGTTCAATGCCTTGAGCGACGATCTGGTTGATGCGATGATAGAATTAGGCAAGATCAAGGAAGCCAGGAAGGTGACTCTGGCCAAAGTGGCGGCGATGGAGGAGGCCGTTCGTGTCCTCCAATCCGAACGGGCGAGTGAGACTGAGGCGGCCACACTTAGGGAGGCCCGGCTCGATGAGCGAATTGGCGGACTTGAAGGGGAGATCTCCAATTTGAATGATAAGGTCGCCACTCTTAAGGCCGAGAAGGTGCAGTTGTTGGCTCGACCGACCTCCTCTCACACTTCCTCCTTTCCCGATGTGACACGGGATTCATATGAAAATTGGATCCATGTCGAGGCCCAGTTGGACATTTTTAGGGATTTGATGGCGGCTAAGAGAGTTACTGAGCTTGAGTTTGAGGGTGATTGTGCTAAGACGCGTGAAGCTCGAGTTGCCTATGGTTTCGACCCTACTACGCTGATGTCGGATAGTGGCGAGGACGAACTGGACGGGATCGAGCAGGACGCTTGGTATGATGACGAGTACACAAATGGTGGAGAGGGCGATGGCGATGAAGGTGGGGACAGCATGTAGTAGTACTTTTTACTTCGTTTTCTTCTTCCTTTCTTGTGTGTGGGTGTCTTTCTGGCCCTTTGTAATATACTTTTTGGAATGGAATGATTATAACCTTTTGCCGTACGTTATTGGATCTTTTACTTTTCTTCGAACGTTTTTCTTCAAATGATTTCTTTAGAAGAATTGTGTCAGTATGTGCTACCTCGAACATGGTCGAGTACATCTTTGATTGAATTTGGGTGAAGTCCCATGCCGCCATAATTAACTCAAACGAAGTTAACTTGTAAATTGAACTCAAGTCAGGTTGAGTATGAGTTGAATTCGAGTGTGGTCGAATATAATTCTTTACTAATTCGAACGAGGTCAATGTGCGGTAATTCAAGCGAGGTCGAATGTTACTCATATTTAATTCGAATGACGACGGATACAAGTTGATTCGAGCGAGGTCGAATGTTACTCGTATTTAATTCGAACGAGGTCGAATGTTACTCATAATTAATTCGAATGAGGTCAAGTGTGAGTTGATTCGAGCGAGGTCAAATGTTACTCATAATTAATTCGAATGAGGTCGAATGTAAGTTGATGCGAGCGAGGTCGAATGTTACTCGTAATTAATTCGAACGAGGTCAAATGTGAGTTGATTCAAGCGAGGTCGAATGTTACTCATAATTAATTCGAACAAGGTTGAATGTGAGTTAATTCGAGCGAGATCGAATGTTACTCGTAATTAATTTGAATGAGGTCGGATGTAAGTTGATTCGAGCGAGGTCGAACGTTACTCATAATTAATTCGAGCGAGGTCGAATGTGAGTTGATTCGAGCGAGGTCGAATGTTAATCGTAGGTAATTCGAACGAGGTCGAATGTGAGTTCCTGGATTGGTATAGTGTTTAAAGTTGGTGGAGACTGGTGAACATCATGTGTTTGCATACTTTTCTTTGCTTATACATACATTGGAGAAGTTTACATGTTTTTGTTTTTCTTATACATACATCGGAGAAGTCCCAACCTATCTAGTCCCTTCATCGGTCGACCTGGAGAAGTAGTTGAGAGGTCGAGCAATAAACTTGTACTCAACTTCGAGATGTCCTCTCCGTCGCCTCGTTAAAAACTTCCCCGAGAAAACCTAATTGGGACAAAACTCAGGTGAGGGAAAAAGAGTACGGCTCGGAGAACATTTGTCCTTAGAAGTTGAAGTATTTGAGATGGGCGACGTTCCTATTGTTTGGTAATAATTTTCCTTCCATTGTTTCTAGCTGGAACGACCCTTTGCTTACTACCGCCGTAATTTTGTTCGGGCCATCCCAATTGGTCCCCAGTTTTCCTTCCCGTGGATCCTTGCTCGCATGTATTTTGGCTTTGAGTACATAGTCCCCGACTTTGAGCGGTCTGACCTTGGCGTTTTTGTTATAGTACCGCTCTGCCTGTTGTTTCTGGGCTACCATTCTTACGTAAGCCACGTCTTTTCATTCTTCGGCCTCGTCAAGGTCTGGCCTTCTACTTTCGTCGTTGCTTGGTCCACTCTCATGTGAGTACCTTAGACTTGGTTCTCCAACCTCGACTGGTATCACTGCATTAGTCCCATAGACTAGTGAGTACGGTGTTTCTCCTGTGCTTATCTTTGGAGTAGTGCGGTATGCCCATAGCACTTCCGGCAGCAACTCCGGCCACAGTCCCTTGGCGTTCTCGAGCTTCTTCTTCATGATATTCAATATCGACTTGTTGGAGGATTCCGCTTGTCCGTTGCCTGTGGGATGATATGGTGTGGAGAGTATTCTTTTGATGTGCCATTTCTCGAAGAACTCGGCGACCTTCTTTTCCGTGAATTAAGGTCCGTTGTCACAACTGATTTCTTTGAAAATGCCGAAACGGCATACAACGTTCCTCCATATAAAGGCGATCACTTCTTGCGAACGTACCTGCTTCCACCCACATAGAAAAATAGTCAGTTAAAATTAAAAGAAATCGCGCATTACCTCGTCCTGCTGGGAGGGGGCCGACGATATCCATTCCCCATTTGACTGAGTGGAGGCCTGCTTGGTGGATTATGGGGGCGTATTTTTGGCATGGTTCGCATTTTTTAACGAAGTCAGCGGATTCCTTTTTCATTGTGGGCCAGTAGTAGCCTACCCGTATGAGGCATCTGACTAGGGCTCGATTGTCGGTGTGAGCCCCATAATGACCTTCTTGGACCTCTTCTAGGACGCGCCGTGTCTGGTTTGGTCCTAAGAATTTTGCTAGAGGGCCGCCATACGTCCTTTTGTACAGGTCGTTATTGATGACGCTATACCTGCTGCTTGCATTCGCAGTTTTCTGGCTTTTTTTTGTCATTTGGAAGCACACCATCCTGCAGGTATGTGACAATACGATTGCGCCAGTCCCGAGTTAGGTTAATAGTACATACCTCGATTTGGTCGATTGGCGAGTGAAGGAGAGTAACCACGTTCCCTTCTCCAGTTATGCTTTTAGTGGTCGCTGCTAGTTTGGAGAAGCCGTCCGCTTCGATGTTCTGCGCTAGTGGTATTTGGTCGAGCTAGCATTCGTCAAACTCGGGTAATAGTTTGCAGATCTCGGCCTGGTATTTTTGTAGCCTTTGTTCCTTGATTTGGAAAGTCCTCATGACTTGATTGATGACGAGTTATGAGTCACATCGTAGGACTACTCGTCATGCTCCGTACTTGAGTTCCAATTTTAACCCTGCAATCACGGCCTCATACTCAACCTCATTGTTAGTCATATCAGGGCACCGTATGGACTGGAATTATTTTGCCTGTTGGGACCTAGAGCACGAGTCCCAGTCCAGATCCTGACGCGTTAGAGGTGCCATCGGTGTACTGAATCCATAGGTCGTGTATTTTGGGGGAAGTACTGGCGGCTTCCCTTTCGACTTCGAGCATTATTTTTGCACTGAAGTCGGCGACGAAGTCGGCAAGTACTTGCGACTTTATCGCCATTCGCGACTAATAGGTTATATCGTGCTCGCTCAATTCTATGGCCCATTTGGCCAACCTACCTGACAACTCGGGGTTTGTGCAGGATACTCCTAAGAGGAAAGGTCGTGACCACTGAGATGGGTTGGCACTGGAAATAAGGTCTAAGTTTCCGTGAAGCTACAACCAAGGCTAGGGCCAGCTTCTCGAGGTGGGGATACCTCGTTTCAGCATCGGCCAAAGTTTTGCTAATATAGTAGATTGGAGATTGCGTACCTTTATTTTCTTGGACCAAGACTGCACTTACCGCAACATCGGACACGACCAAGTAGATGATGAGACGTTCTCCGGGTTTCGCCTTAGTAAGCAGCGGGGGCGAAGACAGGTATGCCTTTAGTTCCTTTAAGGCATCGACGCACTCGGAATTTTATTGGAGTCTATTTTCTTTTTTGAGTACGCCGAAAAATTTATGGCACCTGTCAGAAGATCGTGAGATGAATCTTGACAGGGCGGCTATACTGCCGGTCAACTTCTGCACCTGCTTCTTGCTGGTCAGGTTCTCTGGTATTCCCTCTATAGCCTTGATTTGGTCAGGGTTAACCTCGATGCCTCGCTGTGATACTAAGATGCCGAGGAACTTTCCCGAGGTTACACCGAAGGAGCATTTCTCGGGGTTCAATTTCATGCCGTACCGCCTGAGTATGTCGAAGGCTTCCCTCAACTGATCGATGTGGTCTTCCTTTCTTTTCGACTTGACCAACATGTCGTCTATATATACTTCCATGGTTTTGCCGAGTTGATATTTGAACATTTTGGTCACCAGCCTCTGATATGTCGCCCCGACGATTTTCAACCCGAACGACATAACCTTGTAGCAGTACGTCCCCTAGTGGGTGATGAAAGTGGTTTTTTCCTGATCTTATTCCTCCATGAGGATGTGGTTATAACCTGAATAGGCATCTAGGAAACTTAATAGCTCGTGCCCGGCCGTTGCGTTGATGAGTTGGTCAATATGGGGCAGTGGGAATGAGTCTTTCGGGCATGCTTTGTTCAGATCTGTGAAGTCTACGCACATCCGTTATTTCCCGTTTTTCTTTTTTACCATGACCACATTGGCGACCCATTGGGGATATTTTGACTTTATGATAGAGCCATTTTCGAGCAATTTTTCCACCTCCTCGCGGACAACATCATTTATCGCGGCATTGAATTTTCTTCTAACTTGCCACAATGGGGGGTAGAATGGGTTGGCATTCAACTTGTGTGTTGCTATCTCATTTGGGATGTCCGACATCTCTGCATGAGAAAAAGCAAACAAGTCTGCATTGTTAGCTAAGAATTGATGAAATTTACTTGGTTCTTGGAGTTTGTGGCCAATATAGGCCTTTTTGCTGTGGTCATTTTGATCGAGTTGCACGAGGTCGAGGTCCTCCACAGTTGACCCCGTTGCGTCTACGACTTTGGGATCCTTGATGACATCTTTTCCTTCGTCACCACCTGACCCCGACCTCGATAATTACTATGCATCTTCACCTTTGCCCTTCAATTATTGCGTGTATGTGCAGTCTTGGGCGATGCGGTAGCATTCTTGGGTCGTGCGTTGCTCGCCACAGATGTTGAATACTCCCCACGGGGTGAGAAACTTGACGACCTGATATAAGCTAGAGGGGATGGCTCTCATGAGGTGTATCCAAGGCCGTCCTATGATGGCGTTGTACACCGTGTCTTGATCCATAATGTGGAACGTAGTTTCCAAAGTGATACCACCGGCCAGAACGAGTAGCGTGATTTCTCCGGACGTCCGCTCAAATGCATTGTTAAAACCCGTTAGTGTGATGCAGCGTGGCACTATCCTATCTTCGAGCCTTATTTGTGCGACAACTCGAGGGTGGATAATGCACGCGCCGCTTCCGTCATCGACCATAATGCGTTTTATACCGGTATCTGAAATGCGTAAAGTAATAACAAGAGCGTCGTAATGAGGAAAGGTCAAACTGTGGGTATCTGACTCGTCGAAGATGATACTTTCTTCGAGGTCGTCATACCATTCATGGGTGATTGATCGTTTCAGCTTATGGGTGGTTGTGAACTTCACGTTGATGAACGATGCATCGTCGCCTCCTTCGATGATCATTTGGATGCTGCGGCTGGGGAGAGTGGCTTCGGCGGACCCTGATGTTGTTCGCGTCTTCGAGCAAAGTTTGCCCTTCCTTGGTCGCTCATCAAATCTTTCAAATGCCCTTTGTGGAGTATGTTCACGACCTCTTGCCTTAAAGTGATGCAGTCCTCGGTCTTGTGACCTCGTTCCTGGTGGAATTCGCAGAGGGCATTTGACTTTCTGGCGTTTGGGTCGGACTTCATCTTTTGCGGCCACTTCACTTTTGGGCCGAGCTTCTCCAGGGTATAGATTATTTCTGAAGGAGAAACACATAAATTGTGAGCAGATAGTAATGGAGGCATACCTCTTTCATTTCGGTGAGTCCCAGTCTGTGGCCTGGATGGACCGTCGCCATGACGGGGGGATGGTATGGCGGCGGTTCTGACATATGGTTGGTGCCTTTCCCGGTTGGGCGGCGGGCCTGCGTGATCTCTTCTATTATCGTTTATGCGGTCTTTCCTCGACTCCATTTGGACTGAGGTCAACCATTGGGTAGGTCCGTTGAGGCCGTCCTCGTCTGCTCTTACCTCGGCACAGTAGGCGTTGTGTATCTCATCCCAAGAGATTGGGGGTATTTCATGAGTCAACTTAGATTTTCTGGTCGCCCTCGAACCATTCCTGCTTAGCCCATTTTGGAAAACGGCTACCGCTATCCCCTCCAATACATTTGGGAGAGTCATTTTCACACAGTTAAATCGGGAAAGGAAATCCCTGAGTCCTTCAACAGGTGACTGTTTAATGGCGAATATGGCGTTCACCCTCTCCTCTGCTTTCTTAGCCCTGGCATAGGCGGTGACGAACTTGTCGGCCATCTCCTCGAATATTTCTATGGAACACGCAGGTAATTGTGAGTACCAAGTTAGCGCTCCCCCGGTCAGGGTTTCACCAAGCTATTTCAGCAATATGGATGACACTTGTTCTTTGGCGAGGTCGTTGCTTTTCATTGCAGTGACATAGTGGGTGACATGATCCTCAGGGTTCGTCGTGCCATCATATATTTTCAAGTACGACGATATTTTGAATGTTTTAGGTATGGCGTGTGGTGCAGCCTCATCACTATACGGTTGCTCCATGAACCGGCCAATGTCCCATTTTGGTAAAAGCTTTGGGACGCTCGGTATTTTGTCCACCCTTTCTTGGTGTTCTTTCATTTGATTGCGGAGCATTTTGTTCTCGTTCTCCATCTCTTCCATCTTCCTCAAAATAGTTGTGAGGGTGTCATTACCTGCATCATTAACGTTGTAAATGATACCTGTTGCAGGAGGAGGGTTGTGTTGCTCGTCTGTCATTGTTGTGATGCAGACTCTCGCGTCTTCCCTGCTCATCCTTTGGGCGAGTTTATCGAGTATGCCAGTGAGCGTGCTCGTTAACCATGCTTCTAATAGCTTTTTTACTACTGGTGGTACCTCTTCCGTTGTGGATGTGGAGGCTCATTTTCCATGTGAGGTTGTAACATTGCAGTGAGGGAGGGGTGAACCACTCCGCCTGGGGAAGCGTTTGGTGTCACGTTCTCTTCGTCTGTTCCAGTGACCTCATTGATGATGTTTAGGAGGTTGGCAGTAAGGCCGGCCACCGTTTCATTCTTTCCGCTCCGTTACCTGCCATGTTAGACTATGCACGCGAAAAAGACAAGAGTTTATGTTGTATTTTTTTTTTGTTAGATCTAGAGGAAACTAAAACTTTGACTTGGAAGTCCCCACAGACGGCGCCAAATTGTTTGACCAAAACATATTAATCCCCTGTTAAACTAAATCATGAGTTATTGAGGTGGGTCAATCCTAGTTAGAGCTAATAATCCTATATCTAAGATGGATAACACGAACAACAATATAGTTGAATGAAGATGCGAGCAATAAATGTGACCAGATGTAATAATATGTAAAGAGAACAAGCAATAAATAACACTAAATGGAAATAAATGTAAATAGAGGGGAAGATTCACCCAATATTGAAGAGGATGAAGGATTCCTTCCTCTGACAATGATGAATGACACGAGTATGATAGAATATTATACACTTGCTTGGATCTAGTGGAGATGACAATAGAATAGTTCACAAAAAGGTTGAATCTCTGTTAAAAGTAGTTCTTTGTTTTTTCTTGGAGAGCTTATCCATTTACCAATGTTCTTATCATATGGAATACTACATGCCTTTTTCCCTTCTTTCTTTCTATTTATATGGGATATTCCCAAAGAATCCTAAAAGTACAAACAGAGAGGATATTCGGTAAAATATTCCCTCTGAGGATCCCAATATAAAACAAGCCGTTACTTCTAGTTCTACTGCTCGATCTCGACCACGGCTGGTTGCTGAGCTGTTCGACTCATGAGATTACTGGTCGACCACGACCATGCCACTCGTAACAATTTGTGAGTTGCTCTCATCGTCCTTTTCTGCACGATTTGATCCTCAATCTGATTTTGACCCATACAGAGGTGTGTTCTACACATTGCCCATAATTTTCACTTATAAAATTTTAAAATATAATAGAAATTCAAAATATAAAGAAGTAAGCGGAAGCATGAGAATTCAATAAACAGAAGTAAATACTTAATAGCCAAGAAAATTCAGCAAAATACGTACACATAAAAAAATTGTTCTATCTACAAAGTGTAATTTTTAAAGGAATGAGGGTTAATTAATTCATTTTGGACTAGTATAGCTCCGCATGTTGCATGCTTTCTTACTTCTACTCCTTCTGTCCTAAAAAGTAGGGGTGAGGATCGACCGGTTCGGTTCGGTTTTGTAGAAGTTCGGTTCGATTTATTCAATTTTCGGTTTGTGATTTTAATAACCAAAATCGAATCATAATAACTTCGGTTCGGTTCGATTTATTCATGTTCGGTTCGGTTTAATCGGTTCGGTTTTTCGGTTTCAAGTCATGACAAAAATAATTGAAAACAACAAAAATAGATTATTTGTTGAGATAATAGCCAAAAAGGGTAACCAAAAACTCCAAGTCCAATAACAGATCTCTACAAATTTTCTTGATTTTGCTCTCTTTTCATGGTTACCGATTCTGTTACACAGCAATTTTACTTGGATGACAAATGGAAACTGTCCAAAAAAGAAAGCTTAGCTCGTAGCTGCAGCTATTTGGTAAAAGACCAAGTGACGACAAACAACTAAACAAACAAAAGCGAAGTTGCTCCGGTAGTAATACTCAGTGCAACAACAATTCGGTTTTGGGCTTAGGCTAAAAAAAATCGATTTTTCGTTTAATCGAAAAATGAACTATTAAAATCGATCACCGAATCGAACATCGAATATTTTAAAATTATAAATCGCAAATCGACCAAATAAACTGCTCGGCCGATTTTTTCGATTCGGTCGATATTATGCCACCCCTACTAAGTTGAATTCATAGTAATTTACGGTGCAAGAAATATATTCACAACCTTAATTGTTTATTATAATTTAAAATTATCATCAAATTAAAGCTCCTTTATGACTGGAGATAAAAAAAAAGGATTTTTTCCTAAAAATTGTATAACATTGGACAAAATCTTTTAAAGGTAAAAACAAAACTTTTAATAGTATAATATTGCCAAAAATTTAACGGATAAAATTATTTAACTTCGAATAGTAAATTTGACCTTTTTTTTTTTTTCCTATTAAAGAAATTCCTCACTCCGCCTATTTCCTTTACATAGCCGCGAAAGAATTAAAAAAATACTCACCAAAAACATCGCCGCTGACTTTCTTTCTGACAATGGCTGCAGTCGCCGAGAGTTCTTCAGCTCCGTCGAAGGAAGACAAGCCCGTCATTGTTAGGGTTAAGAGAAAAACTTTCCAGTCTCGCCTCGACGCTTTCTGTGAGTTTCTAGGGTTTTAATAGTCAACTTTTTTTGCTATTTCAGTCTATTTGGAAGCTTAAATTTCAATTATTCTAACTGTGTTGCACTGACAGGGCTCGAAATCAACGAGAGGCCATTGAAACGACCGTTGCTTGACTTTGAGAAGCTTTCAATATCTGATTCTTCAAGTAGAGGTGAGTAAAATATTTTGACGGTTAAGACTTCTAATTCTTAGTATGATAATTCGGACATTGATTTTCTTAGTTAAAAGCATTCAGAAAAAATGTTTAGTTTTTGATGTGTTGATTAGGCGCATGTAGGGGGTTCAAACCATACCTCAGATAAAAGCTTAGTATTTAAGTGGAGAAGGGTAGAGGACTAACGGGCAGGGGAATTGTCACTGAGTTTCGAATTGCGCATCACTAGCCTTGGGGATTTCTCAGTTATCGGGCAAAAATTATGTGAGAAATGTTTGATAAGATTTGTAGCTAAAGAAGAAGCTGGTTGATGGAGGTATATCTGATTGAATGTTATTCACATATCTGTGTACCTATAATATTAATTGGTTACTTTGTGGATTTCTGATGTCGATTGTAGTTTAAGGTGCAAAAAATGCAGTTTGTATGGTTGTGACAGACCAGGTCTTTTTTTTTTTAACTACAATGTACTAATAATTATTTTCAGTGGAGGAATTGAAGAGCAGAAAGGTTCTTGTGCGGCATGTGGAGACAGTAACTAGTTCAGAGGTTACTGTTGATATCCTGAAGTCGTTTGCGGTTAGTGTAATATATTCCACATTTGTAACTCTTTTTTACACATCGTATTTTTGAGTAATATGCTTGAAGTGTGAGAATTTGTAACACTTGCATTCTCGAGGCATAACATTTAGAAGGGTCTAATAGATGCTTTTTAGCAGTCGGCTCCAGCAGATGCTTCGGAAGTCAAAGAGAAAGCTGAGATAAGGCGAAGTTTTAGGGCAGAAAATGTAAGCTCTTTCTTGATTTACTTACAGACACGTGACCAAAAGAAATCCGCGTCAACCTGAGCTTCAGCTTATTGTGATTAATGTGGTATGTGCAGAAACAAGATCAACTACTTGCCAAGGCTAAGCAAAAGCAAGAGGTAAAGTCAGAGTTTGATACCATCATGGAATATTTGTTTCACTGTTATTGCAGAAGATGATTATACATAACTTTCAGTTATGTGGAATTGTTTATTCTAGGTACATTTTACGGATGGAATCTTTCCTTTTGTACTAGCTAATAACATTTTTCGCCATGCAGGATGTAACTTGCTATTCTATGCTTTATTTGTGGAAAGCTTTTTTCTTTTTTCCTTTTTTTCTTTTGTATTTATTTCTAGTGGGGGAAGTGATTATGTCAATGGAGAAACTATCATATTGGAATATAAAAGAACTACTTGAAGTGGTTTAGTCTAACCCCTGTAAATAATGTAGTTCCTCTTCTAGATTTCATTGGATCACTGACTCTAGCTTAGCCCAGTTATATTCTTACTTTTGTTTTTTGAGTCCCTAAGCAGATTAAGTCGTTTGTTGTAATGGAGCTAACTCAATTCCTTGTAACTTTGCATCTTCTGGATGCCTGCAATGAAGAATCTTATTTCATCAGAAGAAAAAAAAAAACTAACTTGCATTATTAAATACTATTTGATTCTAACATTCAGAATGAGAATTTGGAAACCAAAAGGGGTGAAAGATGATTATAAATTACCCAAGATGTTGAGAGGTACTTGAACTGATCTGGTTATATTAAGTAAGGAAACAAAACCCTTTGTAAGAACAATTTGCATGTATTTTGGATGTATGCCTGAACAAAATAAGCAAGTGAAACTAATATTATTCATTTCTCTCTGATATATTTGGATTGACTAAGGGAAGGAGAACAGAAAATATTGTGCATGCGGAAAAATTGAGGAAAATTTTTTTTTCCGTTTAAACACCTATGTGGAAAAGGATTTAAACATTTTTTAGTATATTATAGTGCAGTCATAAACTT